GGGGGGGGGGGGGGGCGTCTTATAAGCTGGTATACGGCGTGCTGAAACTTCTGGGACAGGCGCGCTCTAGTTCCAGTTTGGTTGACAGCTTTGAAAACAAACAGAATGACAACTCCCATGGGTTTATTGTCTTATCCTTCCTTTCAACTTTAGAGTGAATTAGGAAAAGTTTAATCCGCTTGCACTGTTTTATGTTTACATGTTTGATGACAAACAGCTTTATGTTTATTAGTGATAAGAGACAGTTTTCCTGCAAAGTACCTGCATGTCATAAGCATTTGAAATGAAATTACCATATTGAAATCAAATGTGATGTTTGTTTGGTTTTTTTTGGTGGTTTTTTTTTTTTTATTTGGTATGCGTTGAAAGAGGGGTAGTCTATTACGGTGAGTAAAGCTCAAACCCTATATTTTAACTGGAAAAGTAGGGGGTCGTCTTATATGCCCAGTCGTCTTATACGCCGGAAAATATGATAATTAAATGTATTGCAAGTTTTAATTATAATTTATAATCTGGGGATATCTGGGGAAATATATTTATTAATCCTGGGGAATTTCAACCAAGCAAAGTGGCAGTAATGCATGCCCCTTGCCTTAACATCCGTTGAGGGAGGCATTGGGGGCTAATCAGTAGAAGAAACCAAATAGTCTGTGTCATTATCTATATCTTTTAATTAGTTATTTAGTCCTACTTTCATGTCATATTTATATGTTTTCAACAAAATTCAAATTTAATGGTTTAAAAACTTTAGTTAGAAAGTTTAACAATGATCTTAAACTTTTGAAGATGGCAGATTTGGTCGAAGTCGTAAGACACGATCCCAAATCGACTGTCAGCTACAATTTTGATTCTGATGCTGCGAAAATAAAAAAGGAAACAGATAATGCTGACTCTGAATCCACTAAGATACTAAACAAGTTTCAGATTTCGAACTCAAAGCTGACTTTTGTGGCACATACCAACCCAGTAACTGGTAAAATGGATTGGATTGTGCAAGATGAAAACTATGATTATATTCAAGAAATTGCCAGGTAAACACACATCTTTAACTTTAATATTTATTTTTATATTTATTGTGTTGTAGGATTATTTACCATGGCAGCAATCTTGGTTGACAAGACCCGTGAAAAGGTTATATCCCTAAACCTAACGTAAACCCTAAATCTATCTCTAAACGGCTAACCTGAACCCTAAAGAATAAACACCAAATGACATGTCCTTATGGTGTTAGATACAATTAGCCGGAATTTCTTAAGTAACAACAGGTAATGTTGTATTTTAGCGTTGGTAATTTTTTTTTTTAATTTTCGTTGGTATTTAAAAAAACTTTAGACTAGATGGACATTGGGTGTTCAGAAATATCGGGCGTGAAATTGTAAAATGCTTTCTGGTTGTAGTCCAGAACAGAAATGCAGCAACTTTGCAGGCTTGCAAACAGCAGCATATTTTGCCAGGTTCTCATCATATCTGACGGTTGGGCAGCTTATGCGCAAGTCGACAGGATAGGAGGTGGAATATATCAACATTCAGTTATTTTCCATCAACACAACTTCGTTGACCCAAACGATGTAGAATTCCACACATAGAACATTGAGAATATGTGGATGCAGGCTAAGCGCAAACTGAAGAGACAATTTGGGACTAGTCGTGCTCTTTTTCCGTCTATTTGCAGGAGTTTTCTTATCGTTGTTACTTCGGCGATGTAGACTTATTTTCACAGTTCATCATTACTTTGGCTGACAATTATGGATAAATGAACATACGTTTTCACTATTGTATCACTGATTAAACATTTAACTGGTTTTATATGGCTTTAATTATTTTTTATAACAATTTTAAAGTTTTTTTAATTACCGACGCTAAAATACAACATTACCTAAGTAACATAAGGCATGGCATAGGACATATGTCATAGACATCAGAAGAAACAGATTGATTTTGGGATATCAGTGTGCGGGCGTTTAAGTAAGTACTGAACAGACTTGTGATCAGAATGTCATAAGCAGTAACGCAGATATGTATCATATGTCACATGTGAGATGTGCTTAGTAAGTAACTGTTTAATTTACATTATATATATGTTCTTAGCCCAATTTTTAAAAAATAAAAATGCAAAGTTATCAATGGGTTTGTCGACTTATCTAATGAGCAAGTCATGGGGAGATTTTTATCATATTATATTCTCTTAGTACATGGGATAGTGATCTGTTATTGTTTATCACATAGGAATAATTAAACTCTTATTGTATATCACCGAGGTCCTAGTCCACTGTACTTTAAATTTATGAAATTGTTGCTTAGTTTCTGTATAGTTATAGATTGTAATTTTAAAAATGTATTTTTAAAACTTTACAGGTCTGGCTATGGGGATATGCTACATGACAAAGATAGGGTAATATCAAATTAATACATGAATCGCACTCAGTATTGATCTCAAAGTAAAATAATGGTTCAAACTAATTTTTTTTTTAAATATGTATCAGGATAATTTTGTTGTAATGAAGCCCTGTTATTTACTTAAAATTACATAAAAACTTGAAGAAATTAAATATACATAATTATTTAAATATGAAGCTATTTTAATTTCTTCAAGTTTTTATGTAAAGAAAATTCATGAAAAAGCTGTTAAAAATAGTTTTCAAAATCCTGCAACATTTAAAATAAATTGATTTTAGTGGAAATTTTTTTTTTAGAATGAAAAATACTACAAGGCCATTGGTCAAGCTGTCAAACTACTCAAAGAGCAGAACAAAAAGGTCAAGGCTTTAGATATTGGAACAGGAACTGGACTGCTATCAATGATGGCTTCTAAAATGGGTGCAGATTCAATATCAGCTTGTGAAGTAATAATTAATTTATCAACTTATCTTTTAAATAGAGGTTTCCTTTACTACCTTTTAAAACTTAATCATTATGTTGCACTCTTCCATCACAGAAACAAAGAACTCACCAAATTAAGCACATTTGATAGAAAAATGCCGGAGATATATATATTTTCAGTTGGAGCCAAATACCAGTCAATAAAACACATGTCAATTGTGATATCTGAAACATTAATGTTACATCACCTAAAGAAAGAAAATCTTTAAAGAATTTCAGTGAAACACTTTGCATATGAAGCACTACTGCATTGTGGTTCATTTTTGTTGTTAATGTTAAAACAAAAGCTTGCACATTTAAAATAAAAAAAGCACTAAAACCCTCACTAGAAATCACAGTAATGACATATAGGAAGTGAATAGACTTAACTTAAAAATAAGTTTAAGTGATGGAGGAGCCTTGCACAAATGATCAATTTCTATAATTTTATATAATGAAAAGAAATTGAATGAATTTATATTGTTATTTCATTTACTAAATCTTTGATGAAAAAGATTAGCTTAATTACCTCAAAATTTCTTTTTTTTTTTTTAGGCATTTCCACCAATGGCTAAATGTGCAATGAAAGTGTTGGAGGCTAATGGTTTTAAGGATAAAATTAATCTAATTGCCAAAAGATCAACTGAGGTTTCATTAGGTAATGTAGGCTTGAGTAAATTTTTGTCTTATAAAAATATTTCTCTTTACCTTTAGATGTTAAAGAGCAATGTTTTATCCTGAAGAAAATATTAAAATACATTTTATTTATTTCTGTCCATGATGGTCAATTCAATTGATTTTTTTTCATATTTGCTATGAATTAGAAGAGGGTTTTAATAATAAATCGAGTTAGTCATTTTTCATTGAATGTTATTTTGAATTCTGTTATTTAATTTTGGACTTCTGTGTCACTATTTAATTTTGTCTCTAAAAGATGATATAGGTGAAAGGGCAAACTTGCTCATTACAGAATTATTTGACACAGAACTTATAGGAGAAGGGGCAATAGGATCATACACTGATGCTCATTTGAGGCTTATGGAGGTGAGTCTTAAGTTATTCTTGTCATACCTAAATGGGGCAAAATTACTGTGGCAGGAAAGCTAATTAAAAAAAAAAAGCGTTTTTGTTTTGTTTTAAAGAAATTTAAATCTAAAGGCAATTTGGGGCTATACACATTTTTTGGGATCCCTTTTGATGACCACCTAGTCATTTACAAGGTATTGCACCAGGTTATCACTCAGTTGTTTGATGCCTGAGGGCTCTCACCTGCCTCATACCTGGCACATCTCTCACACTAGACCAATACTGGCACATTGGATTTAATCACCTTTATTAATTGGATGCTAAGGGGTTCATATCCTTTTATCCATATTACCAGGCAGATGTGCATACAAAGGTAGAATAAATATTGCACACACAAAGATATTTGCATACGTTGTGTTTTTTTGGTTTGCCCGCATCACTAAAATACACTCTACTAAAAATGTTTGTTTTCCAGGAAGACTGTGTGGCAGTTCCAACAACAGGTATCATGTATATACAGGCTATTCAGAGTGCTGTCCTGAGGAGATGTAATAGTATACAATCAATTCAGCTGCCAAACGGAGTGATTATAAGTGCTCCTTCTAGCTTTACTAACTGTGCAGGAGCACCTTTATTACATGATCTTCAAGTGGATGAGCTCCAAGGTCTTGTAGAGCCTATCACTAAACCTGTGGAGGTTTTCAGGTAGTACATTTCACATCAAATAAATATTTAGAGCACTGTGCACAAGTAATTTTTACCAAATTGAAATTTTATTTTTTTTTGTCCTCCCATCTGCTATAATCAGTTTTGCCATCACTTTTTTGCGAACACACATGACACTTTAAGACTGAGTCTTTCTCATGCTGTGTTCACCTGGTGAACGGCTGGAAAAGAATACTTGGCCGACGGAGTGGGATTGACATTATCGCTCAAATTATTGTGGTTGACCGCGTCTGCTTCGTTGAGTGAATGGGTGGGTGAGCTTAGATCTGCATTTTGGTTTTGGGCTCAGGTAAAGAGTTAATTCACTAAAGCTAGGATTTTGTAAGCATTTAATGTTTTGTGTTTTTTTAATACTTCTATTACTAAAAGTTAGAAAATATATATTTTAAAAAAAAGAACAAAAGACTCTATCAAGACAAGTTAAAACTCTCTAGAAAGTAGACACATTTTTAAAATACATGATGCAAATGAAGTCTGTGCAGAAAATATTTTCAAAAATTAATAAAAGTAAAATATATTTAAGTTTTGTCTACATTCAATTCAAATTCTTTGGCTTCATATAGGGCTCATCTACACTTTTTTACAGTCTTTCTTTTTGTTATGCATCTTAGAAATTTAAATCATTTGATAGAAATAGAAAGTCTTTGTTTTAAATGTTTAATTTTTTTTATTTTACTCCTTTTTTCACAGATTACTTCTTTCACAATTATTATGTATTGCAAATGAATTTAATATTCTCCAGATTGTTACAATATTGATCTTGTAGTTACATTCAAAAGATAGTTTTCAGTGATAATGTCATTGATTTGATGCATTATTTATTTGGCTGAAGATGTTTTAATTACCTTTAGATGAAGGCACTTAATATTATAGAATCCACTTTACATATGTGGATTATGAAAGTATTTTTTTTCTAAGTTTTTATTCATTCTTTAATCCATTCTTATGCCTAAATGTTTTGTTGTTAAAAAAGCTTGATTTCACTCTCTTCCCAAAATCAAAAAAAGTTCACCAATGGCAGTTGTAAAAGTAATGAAAATATTAAATGTTCAAAGATTAAATTGTATGTGTTTATACATTTAAATGTTTTATTTTTGCATTAAAATGATCTCTTTGTTATTCAGATTTGACTTCAGCCACAGAAATGCTCTTAAAAAAAATGAGCAAGTGAAGTTATCTATTGAAGCTGTCAAAGATGGTCAAGTGGATGGGTTTGTTATGTGGTGGGATTTAATAATGGATCCACAAGGTGAAATTACACTCAGCTGTGCTCCATGCTGGAATAAGCTCAAAGATTCTCCAGTACCAGTATGTTTTTTTGTTGGGTTTTTTTTTTAATGATTAAAAATTGTTTGTAAAATAGATATACCTAGAGCAAGGTTTAGAATAAATGTATTATTTCATTCCCCATGACAAAATTCTTGGACTAGCTGAACATTATCATCTGTTCTTTATGTTTGAACACCACCAACTGTTCTGATGTTATTAGCTCTTTGTATTTATTAAAAACATAGCTGACAAATATTTACAGCTCATTATTCTGAAAATATTTTTTGTGTTAATGTTAATCAAAATTTGTTATCCGACTTGAAGTGCAAACAAATAATTAAAAGAAAGATTAATCACTCCAAGGCATATTTCTTAAGTTTTTTATTTCTTATTTTCAGTGGAGAGACCACTGGATGCAAGCTGTATACTATCCTACAAGGCAGCAAGTTGTCAGAAAAGGGGAAGACTTTGAAATAAATTGCAACCACGATGAGTATAGTTTGTGGTTTGACACAGTGCCAACACAAAGGTTAGTTAGTTTGACGGACGAATATAGTTTGTGGTTTGACACGGTGCCAACACAAAGGTAAGTTAGTTTCACGGACGAATATAGTTTGTGGTTTGACATTGTGTCAACTGAAATGTACTTTAGTCTCCTGGAACACTGAGATTTAATTAACAAAATTGGTTTTTGAATAAAAGCCACACTTTGATTTTGATTAATTTGTTTAATCCCAATCGTTCAACTTGTTCAGACTGTAGAGCTAAACTTTTTATTATGTTAATTAAATCACAAGGATCTGGAAACACCACCATTGTCACATTATTTTTTGGGGGCGCTAAAACTATTTTTTCTGCATTGGATTTGTAAAGTTTATAAGGTTCATTTAGATGTTGTCAGACGTCAGTTTTTAATTAACTAGAGATGTGGTCTCTCAAAGTGTTAGAAAAAAAAAGCTATATTTAAACTGAAATAAAGTTGACTCTCCAGCCAAGTGTCTACATGAATTATAGTTAATTCTGATTTCTGGCCTTGGAATATGCATGTAAAACTGAAACCAATTTAAAAAAAAAAAATTAAAAAAAATACCAAAGACTTCCAGGTTCTTTTTATCTGATGTAAAGAAAATAAATGTGTTCAATGTAATCAAAGCACATTTCCATTTCTTAAGACCAATAAAAGAATGTTGTCTCACCTTAAGCAGAATTGTGTTTTTATTCTTTTTATTTAGTATAAAAAAAAATTTTTTTAAATTTTTTGCAGTGAGCTTCCACCGTGCACATGTGGTCTCCACATTGCCTTTAGCAGAAACAGAATAGGACAAATAAATGAGCATGAGAGGAACAGTCTTTTTGTTCAAGTCCTTCAAAAGGTGAATTTTGCTCATATCTTTATACTTTTTGTATTTTTTTTCCAGTGTTGATTCTATATTAAGATGTCAATAGTGATAGGTCTAATACTCATTAAGATTCTATTTCTTGTACCTTAGCTCATTTCAGATAAAGCAAAATTTCTTGTAATTTAAGAAAGTAATTCTTGTACCCTAGCATATTTCAAAAGACAGAATATGTCTTGTAATTTCACCTATCTTTCTTGTACCCCAGCACATTTCAAATGAAACAGTGTGTCTTGTCATCTCAGATGGCACTTTACTTCCCTTGATTGCTGCAGCTTTAGGAGCTAAAAAGGTTTGTTACATAATTTTATTCATGCATTTCCTCATGGAAGCTGTTTTATTACCCGAGCAGTGAACAGTTTTAGTCAGTAAATTTAGTTTGAAAAATTCCATAAACACTTAATTGCAATTTTTAACGTGATCAAAAAGTATTTATTGCTGTAAATCAGCAGTTTTCATCCGCATCACCCTGGGGTGCCTCAACATTATTCTAAGGTGGCAGGAAACTTTTAATGAAAGCAAGACAAAACCCTGATAAATTTGTTAAAATTCATAGACTAGTAAATTCCCAAACTTCTCTACTAAATTACTTCAATTGGACGTAATCGTGAATAAAAGTTATTAATCCAGAAATACATATCCCACTCCAACATGTGCTATTTGGGGATTTACCTTGTCACATAGAATAATGTTACTAGGCAGTTTACTAAGACTTTTTATTAGAACCATGATCATCTCTTGCAAGGGTTCATTGTCGTTGATACTGAACACATTTAAAAATTTCTTCCACTAAAGTAGTTTATTTTGTTTATGGTATCAAAGTCCCAAAAAAATGTTGAAAACTACTGCTTTAAATGAATGCAGTAAAATATTAGTGGCCTTTTATTATAAACTTAAAATTTTAATTTGTATTGTTTTACTGTTTTAGGTTTTCTACCTTGATTGTAACGTATCATGTCGAAGCATTGTCCAAAAGTTGGTTAAACACAATTGTTTACAAGACAAAGTGCATGTTATTGAGAAAAATCTGGATGGTATTACAGCTGAAGACTTAAATAACTTGAAGGTCATAAAAATTAATTTTTACTGTTATTTGTATTTTATCATAGTCTGATAGAAGATATTTGACTAAAATATTTGCCATAGTTTTATTTACCTTTCATTACAATTTTATTTGTTTTTCTACACAGCATATTTTAATTTTCTGAATACATTAAAGAAAAAATATTTTTTATTATTTTCATACTTATTATATATATATTACTATTAAAAATTAAACTTTATTAACTATCACTTAGATTGATGTCGTTATTGCGGAGCCATTCTTTCAAGCAGCCCTGCTTCCATGGGAAAATTTGTACTTTTGGTACGCTTTACATTCCCTGCAATCTCACCTTAGCCAGTCGGTGGTTATTTTACCTCAAAGTATGACGGTCAAGGCTATAGCTGTTGAGTTTCAAGATTTACAGAAAATCAGAGCTCCAGTTGGCAATTGTGAAGGCTTTGATATCTCAGAGTTTGATAGGCTTATAGAGGTATTTTCTCACCTAATATTTCATGTCACTTGGGCAAGTTAGATTATTAAAATTGATGGATAAAATTATTTTCTAAATTATTCCCTCCTTGCAGTGCAAATTTTTAATATTGGGGTCCTCTGAATTATCTTGATCATGGTTTTTGCTCTTCTAAAGACACAATTTAATATTTCTGTCTGAAGGCTTGTATATAGACATACCCTGTACCAAATTAAGTATGAAAATGTATTCCCCTTTTTAGCATTAGAAAATTTAATTTTAAATATCTTTTCAAGCTAGTCAATTCTACTTAGTTATTCTACCAACAGATCTCATCCAGATCGGCAGATGATGATATAGAGCCCCAACCTCTTTGGGAGTATCCAGCAGTGGCACTTTCTCCTCCAACAACAGTTGCCATGCTTGACTTCACTTCCTCTCCCGAAGCCTTAGACAAGTTGGCATATACCAAAGAATTGATTTGCTGCAGGTGGGGTTAATTTTATTGTAAAAAAGATAATTTAATTTTCAATGTATTCCGTCAGTGCTTTTTTCCTTGGTTTGATTATTACTGCAATTTTTTTTTGTCCTAAATCCAAATGCATTAAAAGATTATTTTTTTGTATTTGAGGATGAAATAGTTTGAAAAATGGCGGTCCTAAATCAGATAATTTTAGATTTTTATAAAGGGCGTAGGTGACTGATAACATCTTAATTATATAAAAAAAATGATCGAGTCCTCTAATGTATCCGAAATGGTGACATTTCATTGGTCCACTATTTCCCAATTTTTTCATTGGTGTAAATAGTTGCAACCATGATTTTAATTTTTTTCACATGTGCGTAAACCAGTTTATTTCCTTGGGATTTCCATCCTAGTGTCTCATTTCTTAGGATGACTCGCTATCGATGGCATCAATATTCAACAAATTTTGCTAGAAATAATTATACACTCTTCTAAGATGCCTTAAAAGGGTTACAGATATTGTAAAAGCAAGAAAAAAATTTAAAATCTAGAGGAACTCATTCAAGGAAAATAACAGAAGCTTTGAATTCAAGGTAAGTTTACCAGTAGTATTACTAGAAATTAGGATCAGGGTGCTGATAGTAATAGAGGTAGAAGTCTCTTTGTAAAACTTTGTATGCTCAATGTTATTGGTGTGATGATGCCATGCCTGAGTGTCCATTGTTTAGTTTACGTGAGGGATTAAATAATTTGAACTTGTTGAACCCTCTTTAGTTTTGTTTACATGGTGATGGATGAGCCTTATTTAGGGCCTTAGTGTGGTGGAATTCGAATTTAAAATTTCAAAAGAAAAATGTTTGTCCTCGGGCACAAAGTGGCAATAAATAAGTTATTAAATCATAAGAAGGCCTCAGTTAATAAAGACAGCTTATTTTAACACTGATGAGAATCCATTCTTGGCTTTATTTTGATAGGGATAGGGCATACAACTAAAATTTCCTTTTTTTTTTCTTCAATTATAGGCCTAATGCAAACTCTAATTATTCTACCTTGGATTAAGAAATTGGTTTTAGTTGATGTTTATGTGTTAATTTTGTTATTCCAGTTCATCTATTAATGCTGAATTGAGTGAGCCTCTAGTAATTACTGAACCCCAAAACTGTGGTAGATGGAGCAGAAGTTCACTGTCTACAAGAATGCTACTGAGGGAATACCTAATGACTTGTACACGATTGTGCATCAAAGCTTTCTTCATTCTCTTTTATCAGCAGTGGGATGCACAAATTGAAGAGGCAATAGCCTACAGCTGATTACAAAAAATTCAAATGGTTTGGCTGCTCATTTAAAATGAACTATTCAGATCGTGGGTCAGAATTAGCAGTTGGACATTATTTACTGAACGATAATAATAAAAGGTTGTAATGACATTAGGCATGCAAAGTTACAGTCTCTCTTTGTTTTCCCGTTATGAACATTAAATCGCAAATGCACCTCAATATGTATTATAAATTATGCAAAACTGTCGGCACGGCAGCGAAAAAAGTAGCAGAAGAAGCAATGTGCCAAGCTACTTGTCCGGTTCAGAAAGAGCAACAGCTGCGGACCTCCAACCAGACAAAGACATAAGCAACACAGGGTGCCCCATTAAGACTGTGTCCTATGATGGCACAAGGAAAGATGTGGCCAATCATTGCACAACGGTGTTACAATTGACGTGGATAGTGGCCTAGCTTCGGATACTCAAGTCATAAGTATCTATTGTAAAATGTGTGCCATTGGGCCAAAGCGATGTTCACCTCAGTTAGTGAACTGGATGAGGATGGAACTGGAAGCACACAAAAATAAATGCCAGAAAAATACAGATTGTTCTTCAAATGCAATATGCAGCCAGGATTATCTTTTTTCAAGATCAAATGTTAACAACAGACAATTAATATATAATTAAAATTAATGGCGCAATGCTTTGCTAAGGTGTTGCAGAAGCTTTCAACAAGTTCCAGAAGTGCTATGATATTGGACTTACCAAAGAAGACTGCATCAACCACATAGCAAAGAGAATGTTTAAGTTTAATGCAGCTGAAAGTTTAAAAAGCAAATAATCAAACTTTAAATCACTAATGAAGCTAACAAAAAATTGAATAAAGTCGTAGAAGGTGAAACATATGTTCCTGGGGCATTCAACATTTTGATTTACTAATGATAATGTGCATTATGCTGCACATACACACAAAAATATGTTAAACTTAAAGTTTGAAATTAATTTTTTTTTCATGATTGTTTTTTTTTTCCCCTGTTGTTTTTAAATGTACTGTTCTAACATCTCATCTATTATAAAAGCTAGTCATAAGATTTGGTGTGTATCTTCAACTATTTTGTAGGTGATGATGTATAGGACAAATAATGTGGTTCTTTACTTTTAAAAAAATAATTTTTTATGTTTCTGTGATAATGAATTTGAGCCATCACTGTGACAAAGCAAATACAAATTATTTTTTCTCCTTAAGTTTGGAGAAAATTAAAAGTAGCTCTACCGCTAAACATGAGTCAATTATTTTTTAAACAATAGGTGAGTTTACTTTTCAAATTTTAGAAATCTACAAAAAATGTGTTATTTTCAAGATGGCCACCAGTTTGACATGGCAACTATAACAATTTCTTGTAAAGCATGAAAATGTGTCTCAGTTCATAGCTAAACATGACCATAATAAAATATTTTTCCAAGTTGATTAATGTAAAAAAAAAAAAAATTCTTTGAAAGCCTACCCCCTTAAATTGTCTGAAGTAAAGCAAATTCAATGTAAAAATTTTAAAGAAAAAAAAAAAAATGGGTAGGATTTTCAAAATAAAATTTTTAAATGGTGTGTTCAGGGAAAACACTAAAGAACATTGGGGTAGGTAAGACAATATGAGTTTATTATAATGGTTGTGTTTGTAAAGTTTGAGTTATTCCAATTAAGAGATGTATGGACAGCTGCCAAATAAGAACAGAAATCATAATTTTGTATTGTGCATCTTAATTCTATTCATATTTCTCTGTTCAACAGGAAAGGTACACTAAATGGAGTAGCTTTCTGGACAGAGTTCAGCTTTGGTGATGGCATCCAACTGAACAGTGGTGTAGTGGACAATGATTGGCAGGGAGAGAAGATAAGGTAAGTAGTATCTCATCATTGTGCTCAAAGAGTCAATGTAATAAAAGAATTCATTCTTCTATATTTTAAGGGCCCACAATCAATTTATTGATCATTTTGGCTCCTATCAGTAGATTCTGTAGTCGTATTCACTTAAATGTAAACTAATGAATCTTACCTCATTGTTGGCAGATGGGACATGTTTTCTAGACAAGGTGTAAAGCTCTACAGACATGGACAACCATTTGAGAAAGAAGCAAAAGTAACAATTTCAGCAAAGATTACACCCGTAAATGGAGACATTTTGTTCAAACTTGATGAAACTATAATGTAAATTTGCATACTGTGGATATGAGTTCATTAAACATCATTTAATGCGTTAAGGTGTTGAAGATTCTCCTTCATACATTAATTATATTTAAAAAACTGACAAAGTATCATTTCCTTCACTAATTATTTTATTATGTTACCTCTACAGTCACAGTAAATACATTCAGAACAAAACTTACAAACTTTCAATTTATATGAACACTTCTAATAACCTTCAGTTCATTTCTGCTTTAACAGACTGAGCACATATTTACTTATTACGTAACATAATTATGAAAAACTTCACACAAATATCATGAATAGCATTTTATTTAATGTATGAACATGTGATGATTAACTAAAAAAAATTGAGCAAATTTAAATTGTTCCAAGATATTAAAATTGCTTTAAGCTTTCAGAGCATGGAATGATATACTAAATACAAACTTGGATGAATAAACAAAAAAAATTTATTAAAAGCCATTTTCGACCTTATACAATTAAAGGTTCCTTATGTAAAGTTTACAAGTGTAGAAAAATTAAGTGCATTGAACATATAAGTATAATAAATTGTCTATTATGCCAAGCTAATATTATAGATTAAATTTAAACTGCACCACTGAGAATCCTTGCAAGTACTTTGACAATGGCATTCAATATGAGCTTTTGTAGTCAACACCATAGAAATCTTTTCAACACATGCTGGCAAGAAGTTGAGAAGATGCCTCCATTAAAAAAAAAAAAAGTTAGAACACATTTTTGACCCTTAACCAACCATCCAGGCATGTATAATACTTATGGTCATCAGAACAATAACAGACCTTTCACAACATAAAAGACAACGCATCAAAATTAATACAAGTCACTGGTGCCTCATAACACCCAAACAGATCTTTAAATTTACCACGCTACAACTAGCTACAAAGACAATTAGCTAATGCCTTACAGGCTGCTGTTATGGATGGCCTGAGAATCTCTGGTAGTAAGTGGTAGGGTTCATTTGAAAGGTTTACCATTGCTTTCACATTCACTGTAATGCAACTCATTGCATGTAGATCATTATAGAGTAAGGGGAAACTTACATGCACACACAGTGACACAAGTTCAGCCATTTATAGGCAGACAAATGTTTAGTTTAAAAACCTATAGTTTATAGAACTATTATAAATCATGCAATATTATAGTGATTTAAACATTTATAATAGACATTTTGTTCAGATGTAGCTATAATTTTGTCATTAAATTTGAAATGGTCTTGTTCATTTAAGTCTCAACTTCCTAGCTGGAGCAAGACAAACATAGCAGAGATCATTGACTGAACATGCGCAAGGTGTGCACTTAGGCTCCTCCTACTGCTGTTTGACAAAGGCTGCTTCCTGGTCCTCCAACAGTCTGTAGATTATTGGGGGGCAGTCAGGGCCGACCTGTAAGAAGTAAAATTAGTGTTTAAAAAAGCCCACAAAAATATGGTACTTTTGAGTGTGCTCTAGTAATTGTACACACAATTTGTGTCAAATAAGTCAAGATGAGGCAAATTGTTGAATGTCGGTAAGATGACAGAAGAGTCAGATTTTTTTGATGACATATGGTGGACAATTTGTTGAAGCATTTACTTATTTACAAATTTAAAAAAAAAATAATAGCAAAATGTGCATGTCCTCAGTTTTAGTGTTTTGTATTTATATCTAGATGGTCCACAAAATCCAACAGTTGTACAATATTTTTTCAGGACCTGCTGATTTAAGAGGGTGCAGGTCGGAGTGTCACACAACTATGTAGGTCATATAAGGGTAGGGGGTCTCAAACAAAGATTGATCAATTTCTGGTTATTCATAGCAGACTTCATGAGTTAACAATTTTACCTGAGATTTAAGGAAGCTCCTGCTTTCCCTGCTGTCTTCAAGCCAGTAATCATGAGGAAGACTGAAGAGCTCATCCTCATTGATTGAACCCAAGCCAGACAAGTCGATGGAACCTAATGGACAATGACAATTATATTATTCTTTCTTTGCCGAGGTGAAAGCACACCAGTTCCGTTTTTTTCACCACTTCCAGATAAATTATAGCCCTTTTTGAGAAGTGTAATAAACATATTCCTTTTTCATAAGGTCTGTTTCCAATAATTTTCTGCAAAACAGACTTATTTTAAAGATGAGTTTTAGAATATACCAATTAAGGTCAAGGGGTATGTGTCTATGACATCGAAGCAGACTAAAAAAAATTTAAAACAAACAGCTTATTTCATTGCTTTTAATCTTAAGACATAAAAGGCAATATAAGTTAAGGCAAATGTGATTAAAACATTTACCTTTCTTTGGTATCCAGCCAACTGGTGAATCTACAGCAATGGAAGCATCTCCATCAACTCTACGTAGGATCCAGTCAAGAACACGGATGTTATCACCAAATCCAGGCCACAAAAATCTGCCATTGTTATCCAAACGGAACCAGTTGACATGAAATATCTTTGGCATCTACAAAAAAAATGATTTTATTTTTTAAGAGTACATTCCAGTTACTTGAAGCATTAAAATTTGACCCAATTTTGATAAACTGATTCGCCATTTGAGTTTGAGATTACAACTTTTAAAACTTGTCTAATCTGGCTGTTAACAAAAAGAAAAGCCTAGGAAAGGAATTTCATGTTAAATAAATATTACATGTGAACAATTTGGAAACTTGTTTTAATGCCTAAAAACTGTGTAACATGTTGAAATACTAATAATAAAAAACAAAAAAAGGAGTGGGGGAGAGGGATTAAACTTAACAAATGTGGAGCTATTGGAAAGAGTTTTTTTAAAAATTGTTTAAAATCAAAAGAAATCCCACAACATAAAAAAAAAAAAAATGACTAATGTAGTCTAGAACTTAACACCTAATTTTTTAGTTTACTTGACCAGTATTTTTACCAAGACACCCCGGATTGTCCAACTTCAAAACACAACTTAGATTTGTTTGCAGTAAAACATTTTCTTCTCTGTAATTCCATCCTCACCTGCTTTCATGCTCCCCATACTTGGAACGAATGCCTTGTGTGTCTTTGACTTAACATTTATTTGATTTTGCATGGGGAAAAGAATTTTAAGAAACCATTTTTTAGATATATCACATGGTGACTTTGTCAAGTTTAAAAACAACAAGACCAACCTTGCGGTCTGGCTTCTCAAGGTCCAACCAATGCTGCAGGTAGTGACCAAAGTTGTAACCCATAAAAGGTCTCATTGCCATGGGGTCATGCATAATTGTTTTGCCTATGGAAAGAAAGTTACTAATTTGAAGCATGTAAAGAAAAGTCACTAAACAAACAGCACAAGCTCTGGAATTTTTACAGTGTGGCTCCCTTTGAGAGTATATTCCAAATCAAAAAACTAACTCTACAAATGATTTGACTACAAAATAAGAACCCTCAATTAATGTGCGCATCTGTTTTGGTTCTGAACACTCTTATCTGGGATTTAAGTACTTGACAACACTTGCAATAGTAAAAAAAAGAATATCAAATATTCTTACCTTGGAATTCTGCAGCAGCAGTGGCTTCTGACTTGACACAGGCACCAATCATAACACCATGGGCCCAACTCTTGGCTTCAAACACCAGTGGCACACCTTATCAAGTAAAAAAAGAATGATGCCTCAGATCATGAGAATCTTCTAAAACATACATTTATAGGGATTGATTTAACTCATTCCCGACGGTTGCGACTAAATGCGTCCTCGGGGGGTTCCTCCTGATGCGTCCAAATGCGTCCCGGCGCATAGTGACACACCTCTCTTATTTTTAGTTAAAAATAGCAATGAAATCTCGCACCCCTCGAGACATCCGGCTATGGCGTGATTTCTGCGTGATTTTAATTTAGAAACCGGAAGTTTTTATCTTGTTTCACTTTAAAACTACGTGTGCTTTAGTACGGCGCGTCGATATGTACCATGTGTTCGTCCGAGGTGCCGAAATCGATTTTTTTGGCCATTGTTCGTTATTTTTCCCCCGCTAATGTTATATTTATATTAAACCTTATTCATTTTTTGTTGCATTTATTCTTAATTCATTAACATTAAATAATATTTAGCAACTTAAAAAAATATTTTTAAAATATAAATCAATTTCAAAACTGAGTTGCTTCCCTTTTCTCGGGAAAATAAATTAAGTCCGGAAGCAGCGCTGCCGGAGGGAATGAGTTAAAGCTTTCATTTCCCTTTCACTGTGTACTAAGAGTTTCTTTTTTAGCTATTGGTTATGTTAAAGAAAACCCGAAACTCACCTGTTGGACGACGGCCACCAAATATAATAGCACTGATTGGCACACCTTTTGGATCCTCCCATTTGGGATGAATGATGGGGCATTGGCTAGCAGGACATGTAAATCTTGAGTTGGGATGTGCTGCCTTCCCAGGGCAACCAATGTGCCACGGCTGACCCAGCCAAGTTGTAATGCCAATGCCCTGTGAACAACATTTTTAAAGAAACTTAAGGCAAGCTTAAAAAAAAAAAATTATAAAAAACGGACTTGAAAAATTATAATTTGCAATTGCTAAGAAAAACCTTATGTGTGGGGTTAATGGTCCAGGGTAGAATAATGGAAATTGATACCTGAACGTGATAACAGATTACTGTATAAATCAGAGGAATGTTTAAACTCTACTATCCCAACCGATTCCCCCCTCTGACTGATAAACCATGCTGATGGGTGCCATCCATGGCTTGACATGTAAAAGTATTGGGGTGAGTGGGGTTAATATACATTTGTTTTTGTTTTGTTTTTATACAGCTGGTTTTTATTTAAATAAATGTATGTTATCTTAATGCCATGATTATGTTTGCTAATATTTTTATGTGCAGCTTGATGAGCCCAGCCCTAGGCTGGGGCACTGCGCTATATAAGACCACTAATAATAATAATAATGTTGTTGGACATTTGAGTGCTGTTAGGATGGGGGGGGGGGGATGATATAAGACTTCTGGTACTTGTTGAATTTAGACAGGAAGTATCTTAAATTCTGCACTGGTTCATTGAGATAAAGGTATAGGGTCCTATTTGAAGCATATGGGAAAAAAAACAAATGAGATGGTTCACTGTTGACCAAAGATTGATCATTTTAATCTTGACGGAAAACTGATGGAACAAACAAGACTGTAAAAAATGTAGACCCCACAGGAAGACTTTTACAAGACCATGCAATTGTTTTATGGTTAGGGAACGGAAGAGAAATGCAATGGGGAGTCAAACAGAGATATTCAAGAATCAAAATTATTGAGGGGTAAACGGGTGATGGCTGTAGTCTAAATAGGATACCCGAACACAAGTTTTAAGGGACCAAAATCTTTAAGCTATGGAAAAAATGACTTATTATGCCCTAGTGCTCTTTCCACCTTGTGGTCTACTCACAGGGGGTACTTCATCCTCCAAACCTTCCCAGAAGTAACCACCATCAGCCGTCTCACCAACATTGGTGAAAATACTGTTTTCTTGGAAAGACAACACAGCATTAGGGTTGGTCTTCATGTTAGTACCAGGGGCTACACCAAAAAATCCAGCCTCAGGGTTGATGCCGTGCAGTACACCCTTTTCATCAAACTTCATCCAAGCAATATCATCACCTGGAGAATAATAATTCCAATCAACACAAGTTTACTACAAAAAATTCTTGAAATTAAAAGATAAAGAGGACTGCCAATGGTTTATGTGCTTGCTTATATTTATAACCAGCTAACAGCAACATTAAACCTAAAAAAAAAAAATTAAATCATGCTTTTACTAAACCTTTTTAAGGGTATTATTTTTTAATAATCTTTTTATGGGGCTTAATTTATTTTTTAATAATCTTTTGATGGGGCTTACTTTATTTTTTAATAATCTTTTGATGGGGCTTACTTTATTTTTTAATAATCTTTTTATGGGGCTTACTTTATTTTTTAATAATCTTTTTATGGGGCTTACTTTATTTTTTACTAATCTTTTTATGAGTAATATTTTATGTTTTAATACTCCTATGTGAAACCATGATTAAAATGAAACTGCAAACAAACGTGATTCTCAAATCTTAAACTTGTAAGGAAAAAATTTCAAACCCAACTTACCAACGCACTGAATTCTGAAACCTGGCAGAGATGGGTTCAACATGGCCAAGTTTGTTTTTCCACATGCGCTTGGGAAGGCCGCAGAAACGAAGTACTCCTTTCCTTTAGGAGTGGTGATGCTCATGATCTGTAACCATGATATGGTAGAATGTCAACAACATTAGCAGAAAAAAAATAATTGAAATGTACATAACTGCCCAACTGTGATAGAGCAATGGATTAATTAGTGCTTTAAATGAGGTGGATACTCAAATTGGATCCCTTGCCTTAATAAGTTTGTTTACACAGGTTAAATTCTGTACATCATAGAAACATTTCCAATAAGATAATGCTATCCCTATTAATGACATGCACAAAAAAACATCCCAAAAAAAACCCTCACCAACATGTGCTCTGCCATCCATCCCTCATCTCTGGCAATAACACTGGCAATGCGCAGAGCAAAGCATTTCTTTCCCAGGAGTGAATTGCCACCATAACCGCTACCAAATGATTTGATCTTTCTCTCCTCTGGGAAGTGAGCAATGATGACTTTCTCCGGATTGCATGGCCAGTGATTTTTCACACGCCCTGTGATAAAACATTAAAATATCACTTCAATTTTCACTGACCAGAAAACACTCCCTTATTTTTTCCTAAGTTAAGGTATTTGCCTTATAATAATAAATTGCATTAATAGTCATTTCCCTTTGTTTTAGTTATCTTATCCCATAAAAAAAAAGAAATTGTTTACTGCCTAAACGTATTGGGATATATTGGCACAGTAGTATACTCGTTCACAACACAAATATCACTTCTTTCAGTTTTTTTGGGTTGATGCAGATTTTACTTTATCTCCTTTAAGGTGGTTTATAAACATTTTTTTTGTAATCAATCTAGTACAGGTAAATTCAAGGGGAACTTTAAAACAATTATTAAATGACTGCTTACTTTGTACTGGTCGTGGGCATCCCATTGAATGAATACACTTGACAAAATCATCATCACCCAACAGTTCCCACACTTTTGGGGAGACACGGGTCATGACACGCATGCACAATAGGACATAGTTGGAATCTGTGACTTGAACACCAATCTTGCTCAGTGGTGATCCAAGAGGACCCATACAGAAGGGGATCACGTACATCATACGACCTAAAACAAAACAACTTGGTCATAACAATATTGGAATTATTTGCTAACCAAATCCTGCCTGACCTATAAACTAAACTTAAAATAAATATCTCAGGTGAACATTTTCTGAATGAAGTGATGAATCTGAGTAAAAAGGATTGAGAAAGTCTACCAGCTAGGCATCCTGGAAAACAAAACGATGGCCAAGCTCACTGTTCACTAACATACTCGACATAAAACAAATTAACCTACCAGACATGCACCCAGGAAAACGATGGTCAAGCTCAACTTTCATGTCCTCTGGACTCATCCAACATCCCAAAGCTGACTTGACGCCCTCACGCACATGGGGAACAGAGTCATACTTATTGGCAGTGGTGATGAATGTTTTAGATTCAACACGAGCCACATCATCAGGGTCAGTACGGCACAAATAGCTGAAAATTTTTATTTTTTTTTTAAGTTGTAATTCCTCAATCAATTCACTTCCATTTTAAAACAGAACATGTCCCTTTTATACTGGTACATTAATTGTTAAATTCAATTTTTTTTACCAATGTTTCACTAACAATTTTTAAAAGATGAAACTTAAGTTTGTAAACGTTTTTGACAGTGGGCAAAAAAAAAAAAAAATGAGGTTATGTTTCTATAATTTTCTCTATCAGTTCTCTAATCTACTATGATATCTATTACAAACTCAGATATATGGAGACACCTTTAAATTACCCTGATTTATAAGGAATCTCAGTATGGTACTTTCTGTTTTGAGCATATAAATATTTTTTATTCCCTTTCTTCAAGTTTTAATAAATTGCCTCTTGTTGATGCCATTTTAGGCTATTGTTAAATGACTATTAGGATTCATTAATATTTTAATTGATTAAATTATGGTGAAATTTATTTTGAAATTTTTATTTATTTCAAACAAAGATTTACAATATCCTTTCCAAGACAATGCCAATTTTTGTTTTGTCATCTTTCATTATTAATAAAGGGAACTGAACCATCATTACATGGCATTGTTAAGTATTCTGCATGCAAGTGCAGTAAAATAAAAATTTTAATTTAAAAAAAGGCTTTCAAAAGACCCACTAAAAATCTACAAAATAATTTTATTTAAATTCACTACACAAAAAAGAAGTATGTGCAGAGGGATAGTAATGCACTCTAATGAAGCCAAAGGAATCCAATAAAATTAGAGAAAACTTCATTTTTTTTTTTCTTTAATTTTTGAAAATATTTTCTACACAGACTTTCACTATTGTGAATTTTAATAAATTTATTATCTACTTTTTAGTGCAGTTAAACTCATCTTTAAAAGAAATTCTTTTTTAAAAAGTTTTTTTTATTTTCTACTTTTTAGTATGGAAATTTTAATCTTTAAAATATCCATAAAGAATTTTTTAAAAAACAATGAATTCTTACAAAACGTAAGTTAAAGTAATAAAACTAAAAATTAGAATTTGGTGACTGTTGATCTCATTCTTATTTCCGAAATGCCTGGGGAAGGGTTATTTTTAAAATATCTTTTCTTATATCCTCCCCCCACTTTTCCGCACCCCCCCCCCCACCCATGCAACATGCCGGAGCTTTAACTATATGTCATAAACTCAGGTGACCTTTCAGGTCATTATGGACAGATGAACTGACAGACCAAGTTAAAGTAATAAAACTAAAAATTAGAATTTGGTGACTGTTGATCCCATTCTTATTTCCGAAATGCCTGGGGAAGGGTTATTTTTAAAATATCTTTTCTTATATCCCCCCCCCACTTTTCCGCACCCCCCCCCCCACCCATGCAACATGCCGGAGCTTTAACTATATGTCATAAACTCAGGTGACCTTTCAGGTCATTATGGACAGATGAACTGACAGACCTAGAGTGTCCCGTGTATCAACAAAAAAATTACAACGAACAAGATTAAATTGCAAGAAGAACTAAAGTCTGTGAAAATAAGGACTTCACTTAGTGCCAATTATCCAATAATTAAAAGCTTTGTTGAATGGTATCAAAGAGAAGAGATAGGACGACATCTGAATGAGATGTAAATGTAAGGACATATAGGTAATCATAAAAAAGCATTTCAGCTACTCAGTGACTCAAACAAAGCATAAAAATGTGATTGTTTTGTTCACAACACAAAAAATTTATTTAACGCAATTTTCATTATGCTAGGCAACAATCTTTCTACATATTTAATTATTATATTTATACAGCAAGCTGAAAAAGTTTGCATCACCAATATTTCATTATGTGATTACAATGGCTGCAGCTGTAATTTTTCAAACCATCTTTTCTGCTTACTTGTTTTTATACTTTGTGAGTCTTGTGAGTGTGCCTCTCTCAAGTAGTTTATGAATGATCTCATCAGCTTCTTCTGCACTGCCATCACAAATGTAAATACCACGAGGTTTACATAATTGGACCTAATACAAAGAAATAAGCAGGTATACACACTATAGTGATCTAATTGCAGAAATTACAAGCCTAATTGCAAATATGGAGGAAAAAAAAGGTTCAATAGAAAGTTTAATTATGTGAACAGTTTTTTAAAAAATAAATACACCAGTGGTTTCCAAACTGAGCAGTGCAATTGTGTGGTGTGGACCACAGCATAAGCTTTAGAGATGGTATAGTATACACTTACACAATGAGCAAGAAATATCTTCACTTTCTTGGGGAGATGAGTAAAGTCCCCTTTTGCCAAAGGCACATGTCCAACTTTCTGCACAACAATCTCATGAACCTCGTATACAAGATCCTCATCAGCCATATTGAAATAACTGATTATGAAAGAAAATGAAAAATCAATTTAATTCAGTGAGCTAACATTGTATTTATATAATTCCCCCCTTTGATGGGGAAGTAGCCTACCAATTTTATATTACCATGGGCATGGGTTGGATTTTTTTTTTTTAAACTTCAAGATAATTTCCTTAATGCCTGAATTGATGTGAAGAAAATTTTATTACCGTTAATTAGTTTCAGTGTGTCTTAAGAGAAAGGTTAAAAGCCACTCTTTTAGTGCCTTTTTATAAATAGAAACACACATTATAGCATTAAAAAGTTAAGTTAAACATAATCAGGATCAAATAGTCATTTCAGCAAGAGGCTAATGTGGAAAATTTGCAGGCCTTCCCCCCATAGCCTTTTGGTCTTTGTGAATGGAGCATTAAGTTACTTGGAAATGTGGTAAATAATTAAGGTCTATATCCTTGCTGGTCAGTTAAAGCAGTGAAAGAGGTGATGTGGTATTGTCTCATTTGAATATCACCAAGTTTCAGCTCAATTAGAGTCAATAGGTTGACAGGAAGTGAGTCAATTAGCAGTCTGGAGTTTTGCCATTGCCAGCCAGCCAGAACAATAAGTAAAGTTAATATAAAAGATAGTCACTGACAGTGACAACCACATAGGCCTGCATGAGAATGTTATTAGAATTCACTTGCTAAATAATTGGTAAAAAAAAATTCAAAGAAATCTCAATTAGAGCACCAAACTGCAAATAAAATTACTTTAGTTAAGTGGGGATATCATTTAATAATCCCTCTCAGCTGATAATTTCTGCCTTCTGCCAAATCAAAATGAAAGCTGAACTGGCTCTTGGTGCATTCAAATTATTTACTTTTTGAGCTACGTATTATATATATACAGGCGTTATTTTTCATATTAACTTAATAGTTTATGTTAGGCATCTCATGCGCAGTTACGATAATTTATAGATTTTGAAAGTCAGTTTCCGATCAAGGTCGAATACGCACCACAAAAAGCGTCCTTCACCTTCGCATGGTAATGGGGGCACCGGTATGCAATAAATAAATAAACTTTGTTGTTGGTTTGGAGATACTCATACATTTGGATGATTAAATGCAGCAAAAATACAACCCAAACTTTAATTACAAGACAACGTAATTTGCAACAGAGTACTTAAGATATTGGTGCATTGTATTAAATAATTAAGCTCTACAGGGCATCCAACAACTTTTTTTGTGAATTCGATTACAAATACTGAAATAGCAACGTAGAATTTTGTAAACAACATTCTTGAAATTAACTTTTTTTCCAAAAAATCTCTTAAATAATCAAACAAATTGTTAACCTTTTTTTTTTAAAGTGCTATGGATTAAGATTTTTGCACAACAGTATTAACCTTTGAAATAAACTCACAATTTTCTGAAATAACAGTGCCACAGGTAACGCTTGGTTCACACTGCTAGTATGGACTGCTGGTTTCAGCAAGTTCAGCTACATGTATTAGGACAGGGAAAGAGAATCGATTACCAACACTTAATAATTTCGATTATAGCATAACACGCTAATTTATAGTTCATCAATCAATTTTCTTTTAGCTTTAAAAAACACACACTGCCTAAATAATATTATCATGTAATCAATTTACTCAATAATTAATATCACAACTGATATAACTGCGAATTTCTAAAAAAAATATGATTTGTTTAAACGAATCATGTTATACCTATGTAATAAAATAACCGATTACTTGTTTTTGTCTGGAAACAAGTTAGTGTGACCTTCCATGGGTTTGTTCTTTTCAGGTCAGGGACTCGGGTCAAAGTTCATTTTGTGGAGGGGGGTGTGTGTGCTAAAATTCAGCGTTTCGCTGAATGTTAAGTTTGGCGGAGCGGTTGAAAATTTTTGAAAATGTACCAGGGATCGGTGCCAGATTTATTTATTATACTTTCTTTTTATTTGACCATAGACCATAGCTATTACATAATATGTTGTGCGGAGCGGCAACATAAGTTTCGCGGACTGGTGCCGGCCCGCGGACCACCATTTGGGGAACGATGTGCTAAATAACCCGTAGTGTGACGTAGGTGTTTAACCTTTGAAAAAAAATGAGGTGAATATAGGAGAAAGGCAGACACAGATACAACAATAACAAACCGTGCTAATTTAGTATTTCGTGAATCAGTAATAAACATAAAATTTTATTCTCATATGCCTATTTAGAATAATCAGAAACCGAGCTGTAAACAAACATTACAATGAAACTATTATTACACCACACCAGTGGCGTAGCGAGGGTGTTTGGCGCCCGGGGACAAGATTCGCGCCCGGGGACAAGATCCATTTTTAGCGCCCCTTTTTCTTTTTTTTCAACTCTCAAACCCATTATTGTCATCAATAAAATAATATCAAAGCACATTTTGGCGCCCCTAACTAGCTGGTGCCCGGGGACATCTGTCCCCCCTGCCCCCACCATGCTACGCCTCTGCACCACACTGCGTCAAGCTTTACAGTATTCGTTTTTATTACGTTTAACGTTTCATTTATTGCTGTTAATTTGTTCGCTGAAGAAAAAAAATATAGATCTAATTCTAAACGTTTCTTGTTGTGATTTGTCATATTTGAGATTTTTTCAGATTTTGTAAGGACAAAGAATTGTGCGGTTTTTTGTTTTTTTTTTATTTCTTTTATGGGCCAGCTTTGAAGATACATTCAAACTCAATTAATTGGGGAAGGAAAGCTGTCATCGCAATTATTTGATCTGGTTATTTATATCCATTAAGTTTGTTGCTTCAATTCTGATGGCCCTTTTCTGAGATAAACCAGGCTTCCGAAGGCAACAACATAAACCAACGTGCCAACATACAAACTTCATATTCTTCTTGTTGAAGACCTTGATTTTTGTCTATATGTTTGCTACAAAATCACCATGCTTACATTTTTATATGGGAAATATTTGTTAAAACAATGGGCCCCCTTCAGCAAAATGATATCTTATTAGAAGGTTTCCTCTAGTATTGAACTGAACATTGAATTCATTGAGTTTTATTTTATTTACCTTCTTAGTTTTCAAGCTTTTTGCGTTAACTTTTGACAGCCCCCACCCCCTTTTTAAAACCCATTTTTTTACCAAACAAAAGAAAATAAATAAATGGAAAAAAGAGCATATAAAAATAATATAACACCACACCAAAACCCCACAAAACAATAAAAATAAAAAAAAANGAGTTTTATTTTATTTACCTTCTTAGTTTTCAAGCTTTTTTCGTTAACTTTTGACAGCCCCCACCCCCTTTTTAAAACCCATTTTTTTACCAAACAAAAAAAAAAAAATAAATGGAAAAAAGAGCATATAAAAATAATATACCCCCCCCCCCCAACCCGACTATATATTGAAATTAGTAAATAGGTTAAATAAAACAATAATAAGTAAGTGTTAACAACTAATCTGCAGATGAATTAACAAAATGTCTTCTTGCTTTTCGAAATAAATTCATTTTCTGGAGTCTAAAGTTTTGTCCCGCAATGCCATTCAGGTGTCTTTTTCAAAATTTGAATTTGAAAGAAATTATTCATAAATTCAAAAGCTTCAAGTCTGCTTGTTTCGATCAGCTGGCCAATTTTCCTATACTGAAAGATTCTCACCACATTGTCCACATCTCCTATTTACAGACGACTTCTTATCCTTTCCCGACCAGGGGGCCACCAGGTGTCTGTGGAGGCCTTACCTAAAGGTGATCCTAACAATGATTGGTAGAGGCAACACGCCAAAAAATGCGAAGAAGATAAAAACAATGCAGCAGAAGAGGGTCTGTACTATGGTCCACATTCTCAACTTTCAAACCAATTCAATTGCGGGGAATATATAGGCATATATATATATATATATATATATATAATCTGTACTATGGTCCACATTCTCAACTTTCAAACCAATTCAATTGCGGGGAATATATAGGCATATATATATATATATATATATATATATATATATATATATATATATATATATATATATATATATATATATATATATATATATATATATATATATATAAATATAATATATTTTAAAATAATAACACAAAATATATATATATATATAAGTAGGCCTATATATCATCGTATCATATGTTAAAATACTATCCCAAAATGCATCTGTAAACTATTAATTAACAGTACACTATCAGTCAGAAAGAATAGAGATAGAGGTACAGAGATCGGTTTACAAGGATGCACATTTTCACCCTATCTCGGCTTAGAGCCAGTGTTGGAGAAAATTAGGAAAGACACTAAAATAAAAGGAATAAAATTGAATAGGTATACCAAACAGAGGAGAAAGAAAAATGCTAGTTTACGCCGACGATATCATCCTCCATTGGTTGGTGTCACCCGGTGCGGTAAACTCGTGGTTTCACAACATCCCCCCCCCCACTAACCTTCCACGATGGATTTCTTCTTGTTAAAATAAGTACACATTATAACAAAAACAAATTAATTTCAATCACTTTCATTTGATAGTAGAGCCAGATAAGAAAACCTTGACTGCCCCATGGTGGATCGTAAATAGTTATTGATAAAACTTAGTACCGGTAATGAAAAACTCCTTTCACTGGAAGCCATAGACACTCAGATCGTAAAATATAAACATTTGAAGACTTAGCAAAAGTATTGGAAGAGAATCTAGGAAGTCCCATATTCTGCACATAATTAATTTTTTCAATAATGTATAATTCAATTGTCAATAATACTAGACTCAATGTTTTGACAAGTTTCCCTCTACCATGAAATGGGATGACTTTGCCAAGATTCTTAGATTCTGGATATAGATATTTTTCTGACTTCGGTTAGTTTAAACTTTCATTTTAAGGAATTATAATCTATTTCTCTATGAATTTAATTTGTATATATTTCAAGGATAAAAAGGTTCATTATGTTGTTGAATTGGTTAAGTTAAAGTTTAATCAATCTTTATTGCTTTTCTTTCACAGCATGGGGCAAAGTCACGCCACGGATTGATACATTGATTTTTTAAATTGATTTCTCTATTTTTTTTTCTCCAGATCATCATGCCATGAATTAAGAAAAGAATGCCTAATGATAAGGAAGAATTGTAAGAGTTAATATACTACTAGGCACATAAATAATGTAGAAGTCATCTAAAAGTGAAAGACACCATTGATTTGAAAACTCTTGGAACCTAGTAAATATTCTGTCAGGAAGGTTAAAGTAAACTTAATAAAGACCCTAAAAACATTATTAGATTTAGGAATGCCTCAACTAGAAAATATTGACTAGGCATAGTTTTTTTTTATTTTTGGACCAATCTTGACGAAGACGAAATCGTTATTTTTGTAAACTGAGATCAGGATATTTTTTGCCAAAGATAGAAGCTGAGATAATAGGAAAGACATTACAGTTACAGTCTAATATGACAAATTCATACATTAGATGGCGTAAATGCCAAAACCTATGTCGAAGTTTTGCCTTGAAAGAAAAGATCACCTAGAATCATTTTTGACGTGAACTGGTGATATTATTTTACACCAGCATTTCATTACATTAAAATATTGTGATCAAACTGTAAATATAGAAAAGAAAATGATCTTATTTTTTTGTATTTACAATTTCTACATGCATTGTTGTGTCTTTCTTTTTTAAAAGTGCAAAATCATCCCATTTTTCCTTGGATTAAAAAATTATTTTAAAAAACACATTATTATTAACCTAACCTTATAGAACTATGACTTCATTCAACTAAAACAACAAAGTGCGGTACCCAATCTGTACATTTCTGTTAGTTTTTAAATCTCTTAACATGTTGAACATTTTTTGTATAGGCAAAGTCACTCCGTACACACGTTACTGCTAGTTTATATCTCTAAAAAGCTTCATTTGGACTCTGTACCTTGTGACAGAATATTTTTGTTATCTTTATAGTGTTGATCTGTCCCAATTACTTGCAGCTGAATAAATGACGATAAATTATGAT